TGTTCATAGAGTCACTACGAGTCACACTCAACGCGACAACAATTAACAACAACAACAATGCAACAACATATATATAGAATATAGAATACAAAATACAGAATATAGAACATATTGTATAATATAGAATATATAATAAATATATAATATATACAATACTGTGTAGGGATATATCCTTTAAAGCTAATCCTGTGTAAATTTCATCCTTTAAAGTGTTCTTTCACTCTTTTTAAAACAGTTTATCTATCTATCTATCTATCTACCTACCTATCTATCTATCTATCTTGATAAGGAACACCATGATGAGAGATATAAATGGTACATGAAAGAGTGGAAAACCCTTCATAAGATGAAATGATACAGTGAACGCAAAACTGAGCTTAAGTAAGGCAGAGAGAATGATTGTATAAGAGAGGACAAGGTTCTGATGTCCTGTTCATAGGGCTGACAGTGAGTCATAGTTGACTCAATAGCACTTAAGAACAACATATGTATACCTATGTCTTATAAATCTATTTGTCTATCAACTATCTATCTATCCATCTAGATACAGATGCATTTAAATATATAAAGCTAAAAAAATCAACATATAAAGCTGATTTAACATTTGGATACTGATGCTTGAAATTTTAGAAAATATAATCATTAATGAGGAAAAGTAACATTGCCCATCTAATTAAGCAGTCATGTCACATAAAAATACTTATCCATTATGTGGTTAAGATAAAAGAGTTTGACTGATTATAATACTTTAAAATGGGGTATAGTAAAATGGAATCAGTAAACAGTATGATCCTAACTGGGAATATCATGTGTTACTTACCATTACAACTTGGCCTCTCTTCTATGGTCCACGTTCCATTAGCTTGGCACTGGACGAGCCTCCTCCCATCCAAGTAATAACCAGGACTGCAGCTCAGCACTACTTGAGCTCCATATTCATTCAAAGATCCCGAAACCAATCTCCAGATGACATGTTCTGAGAGTTGAGCTTCGATACTAGGACAAGTAATGGCTAGAGGAGAAATAGATTTATCATCATCATTTTTCTCAAGAAATCAACTGACAGTTTTAATGGTAAGGTCCTGCCTGTTACATGTAAAACAAATTTTGTTGTGCATCAAGCTGGTTTTCTTTGCTATCCAATAGTTGCACATATGTAAAATATATTGTATGGTCTCGGAACAGTTTCTCTAGAAATCTTATAGTCAGACTGAGCCTTAAAAGAGTGACACCTTACACAGAGGTTTACAGTTCACTTGGAACCTATGACACCTTTCACCACATAAATGACTTTCTTTGCTATCCAATAGTTGCACATATGTAAAATAATATTGTATGGTCTCGGAACAGTTTCTGTAGAAATCTTATAGTCAGACTGAGCCTTAAAAGAGTGACAACTTACACAGAGGTTTACAGTTCACTTGGAACCTATGACACATTTCGCCACATAAATGACTTCCTGTATATTAAAGTCTTATGTTTTCTTGTCTCAGTATCCTCTAAAACTTGGGATAGTAATTGAATAGCTGAAAACAAGTGTGTACACTATTTTTAAAAACTAGCTGCATTACCTGAAACACCTACAACCAGGAAAGGATAAAATAGATGAATGGGATCTTCTAAGAATCAAATCCCTATGCACATCCAAAAGTTTCTCCAACAGGGTAGAAAGGGAAGCCAAAGACTGGGAAAAAGTATTTGGTAATGACATATTGGATAAGGAACTTATATCCAGAATTTATAAAATACTTGAGCACCACAAGAAGATAAAGGTAAATAATCCAATAGAAAAATGGGCACAGGATATGAATAGACACTTCACCAAAGAAGACATTCAGATGGCTAACAAGCACATGAAGAAATGTTCAAAATCCCTAGCTCTAAGAGAGATGCAAATCAAAACAACTATAAGATATCATCTCACCCCAGTCAGAATAGCAAAATTTAACAGAACAGCAAGCAACAAATGCTGGCGAGGTTGTGGAGAAACTGGAACCCTTATTCACTGTTGGTGGGAGTGTACAATAGTGCAACAACTGTGGAAGGCGGTATGACTGTGGTATATTTACATGATGGAATATTATGCTGCATTGAAAAACAAGGAACTCATGCAATATTATTCAAAATAGGTGAGCCTGGAGGACATTATGCTGAGTGAAGTATCTCAGTCACAAAAGGACAAATACTTCATGGTGCCACTGTTGTGAAACAGGACTGACCTCGGGGTTGGGGAGACACTGAGAACGGTGGGTTCAATTATGTATATACTGCATTGAAACAGATGGGGGAGAAAATTGGTTAAAAGGGATATGTGATTATGTATTTTTGTCATGACAGGAGTCCAGAGTGAAGGCTGCATAGTGGAGTGGACCTGGGGGGAGGGATTGTAAAACAATGCAAGAATTTTTCTTTTACTTCCAAGAGGGTAGTGTACTAGCGGGGAGGGTTGGGAGGGCAGAAAAGTGCAACAATGAATAAAAGGAAATCCAAAGTCTCTGTAAATTTTCATTGAAATTAATAATAAATAAAAAAGTAGCTGAATTAATTTCTATAAAACTCCCATAGAAACTCTGTATATAATTGGAAATATAATCACACAAATCAGATGCACACATTCCAGGAAAAAAATATTACAATTTTTAAATGAAGAAATATATTTATGCACTAGGGAAAAGCCTAAAATATTGTTATATGCTGTGTAATTGACTGGGACCCATACTGAATCAGACCTGCAGGTCTTCACTCCCATAGATCTACTAGTTGAAAGTAGCAACTATATAATTATCAGCAGAGTGCTTAATAAACTTTTACAATGTAATAACAACATTCTTAATAATAAAAAAAGTATTTTTTAAAAGTTATTGTACTTACTTAATAAACAGAAGCTGTAACAATTGAAAACCATTAGCAACAGTGGCCATTGCAATAGTATTAGCCGGACAATGCATCTAAGTGAACGTGAAGAATTTTATAAATAAGATGAAAATAGAAAAATGACTTAATTGGGGGGCTTACTGAGAGTTTGTATCTATTTTTCTGAAAAGAATAATAATACTTAAATTGTGTGACTTTTTCTGAGCCTTTTCAAAGTTAAGAGGCACCTCTTTAATGAAGTTTCACTATCAAAAATCCATCACAGTAACTAATACAACTATATATATGCATTTATGTGTTGGTATATTGTTTAGAAAGTGTGATGACAGAAGGGGTAAAAAAAATCCAAAGTAACTGAGTAATGTAAGGAATATAAACAGAAACTGAAGATACAAAATAATATTTTATAATATTATTATGTTATTAGAAATAATTATATATTTATAAATTATATATAATAAATGATATAATAATTATATAAAATTTATAGTAATACCTTGTCCTTTTTCTAGGGCTTGGTAGGTTCTTAAGATTGTACTGATATTTATTTTATTTAATATTTTGAAAGATGATCTGAGAGAATTGGTGTACAAAACCAACTGAATTTGCATTTGCAAATGGTAAAGAGATGGTGAAGAGATTGGGGTTGCTAATAATTACAGCTTGCTCAATTCCACAATCAACATCCTTGGCACCAGCAGTTAGGATATCAAAAGACGAATTGCACTGGGAAATCTGCTGTTAGTGACCTCTCCATAATTCTGAGAAGCAATGATGTCAGTCTAGAAACTAAGGTGTGTCTGATTCAGGCCATGTTCTTTGCAATTACTTGCTGTGCATCAGATAGCTGGATTTAATGGTAAAAAAACAATTTTTAAGCTAACACCACAGCTTATTATTAGGGCACTTTCCCCCCTTTTTGTTTCCAATTAATATTCAACTGGTTTAATTTTTTCCTTAAAAATTCAGTATGTTGCATCATTATAACATTCATGATGACATTTCCAGTCATTATTTCACCTTATCTGAAAGATCAGCCTTTCCCTTACCATTATCTATATTTAGAGAAATATGCAAGCCAGTTACTTTATACCTTGTGTGTAAGCCCCCTATTTAAAGTAAATAAATTTCTTATTTGCCCAGTCTATCAAACCAGTACTCTAAGGAAACAAACATGCCTTCTTTTTTTTTTTTTTAAGCATCTTCTATTAAACTTGAATCTACATCTATGAAGAAAGATCCACTGCAGACCAATCAATCAGGTCATAGCAATCAACACTAGCTCATGTAATGAGTTGAGTTCTGGTCATCACATCTCCAGCTAGGTCCAAATAAGCCAAAAACTCAGGAGTCCACACTTCTTCCTGTATTTCAGATCAGCTTATTTCCTTACTCAACTTTAGCCTGATATGGGCCAAATTAACATATCAGGGATCCTCAGGACTCCCTGCGCCAGCAACCCTCCTTCATTTATCCATTCATCATGGTAGATGGACAGTGCTAAAACAAGTCTAAATTCAGCTTGTCTCATCAATTTTGTGTATCTTTCACTGCCGCTCTTCAAGGGGACACAGGTGGTCACTGCAAGTTGAGCACACTCTCCAGATTCCTTTAACTTTGAAGTCCTGGAAAGAAGTTATGATATTTCTCTCTTTATCTCGTCAAGTAGACCCAGGTGGTCATCATGAGTTAAGTATACTTTTCAGCTTTCGGGTTTTTTTGGTTCATTGGCAATCTCTCTTTTCTATAAAATGTAACTTTCTTCAGAGTACTAGGTGGGCCTTACTGTTTCTTAGGCTAAGCTCCACACTCTACCGAATTTTACTACTTACCATAAACATTCTTCTAGGGCAATGTTTCCTTCCCTTTTTTGAATTTCCAGTTCATATTCAACTGGCTTAATTTTGTTCTCTAAATTACAATATGTCCCATCATTATAACATCCAGTATTTATTAACATTTGTTACATCCATAACCATCAGGTATATATTTTCCACAATCTATAAAATAAATATCTCAATCTAATAAAATCCAGTATCTTTTAAATAAACACAAACTTTAGTCCTTTATACAACTTAACATTACTGTGTAAATAAATAAAAACTGCAACAAACCCAGAAACAGCAATATTCATAAAGTTAAAGAAACAAATTCCTTAACCCATAAACCTGTTAAGGAATTAATTCTTTCAACTTTATTCTGTACTTTTTTGGTCTGAGGCCCTGAAGCAGCTTCTCAACTTACTTTTTTTTCATTCTAGTACAAGCAAAATTAACATTTTGAATTGTACATGCACACAGACACACATACTTTATAGAAATAAACAATAACCATTTTAACTGTACATCTTCCCAAGTCCCATATTCACAAAACTAAGCCATAGTCCTATGAGTTTGAAACAATGAATTGAATTCTGAATTGAATTCTAAAAGGACCAGATGCAGCATGGGAATGGCTGAGTCTTACTTCTCCCATCTTCATAAAGGGGAACTTGTTCTCATCAATAATATCCATACCAAAAAATAGAGAGCTTCTAGTTCAGACATGCCACCTCCATGCTCCTGCACCTATTTCCACTAATCACTGGATTTGATATTCACTGTTGACTCACAGACTTTACTCACAGTTGTGATATTGAAGGTGGGGCTTATTAGGAAAATAGAATGGGGAGTAGGAGAAGCAAAGGATATTTCACCATGTATATCCAGATTTAATCCAACAGTCCCAAGTCAGATTAGCAACAAAGCACAATTTCTTAATTAGTAAAAGATCTACTTTCAGTTCAGCAACATTCATTCAAGAAGCTTCTGGTTTCCTCAATCATCCTATAAGGTTTACCTCAGAGCAGTAGATAAAAGTCAGCTTCTCCTTTAATCACCTCGCAAGCAAAGCCATTGACTGTGGCCAGTAAAATGTAAGAAGCCTCATAATGCACCTTTCCACAGTCTCTTTCAAGCAATACCACAGTTTCTTCACAATCTCTCTACCACCATCATTGCTGGGCCTTGCTCTACAGAGTGGAAAACATTCTCTCTTATACTAGTCTTATAGTTGTAGATAATTTGCAAGACTATGTGTCCACATTTAAAATAGCTGGAGACCAGCAAGGCTAATGTAATGTCAAGACAACTTAAGAAA